CCGTGGTCATGTAGCCGGCATGACTAAACACCAAGCCGCACGGAACGCTGTTACCTTCCCACTGAAGTGGTACCTATTTATCTACTTGCAATTTCTTGCTTTCGAACTGCTAGGTTGGCAGGAGCTGGAACTAGAGACGGGAGCTCTCTCCGTCATGCGGCAACTCTGGTCTCGAACTGCTGAACTGCCGACCTTCCACAGCCTGCAGTTCAGTGTCTTAACCACTTGAGCCACCGCAGCTCCTTAAATATCACTATATATAACAGTAAATTGGTTGGCTGCATTGCAGATGATAAAATCTGTAGAATCCCACAAACCAAAGCTCCCAAACAGGGGGACTCCCCAGGTATTGTAAATTAATTTTGTAAATTTGTAAATTAACCATTTTTTAAAAATAGAACATCTGCCATGTAGAAACTTGGTGAATCGTCTTCAAATTAAGGAAGTTAATTGTTTGCTAATATAGCCAAAGGACATTCACTATGTGAACTGTACAAATGAATGCTATTTAATTTTGTAGGTGTATACTACATCAGTTGCCACTAAAATGAAATTATTGTTATTCCTAACTACTCAAAATAGTTAATCTGATGTGTACAGCAACAGTATATGGCTCTTGTCATTTTCAGCTTTATGCCTTATTTTATACTGACAAAAAACTTGCCTGCTAAATATTCTCTTAGTAATATTTTTACTGCCATTGCCAAGTAACTGTCTTGCCCTGTAGATTGTCCCTTTGTCCCTTTGCTAGACATTTTTATGTCCTGCTTTAGAGTATGTCTTCCCAGCTTGTGACTAGCTAAGGCGAATGCTGCCCAGTCCCCTTGAGTGGCAGAGTCTTGATTAAACCACCTATTATTTGCTTCCTACCTGCACACTGTTAAGTACCTGTTAGACCTAAGTGTGGCTAGTGGACTGCGTTTCATGGGTCACATGTGGTACATGTAAAGATAAAAGGTAAAGGTTTTCCTTGCTCGAAAGCCAGTCGAATCCGACTCTAGGGTTGTGCTCATCTCCATTTCCAAGCCGAAGAGCCAGCGCTGTCTGAAGACGGTTCCGTGGTCATGTGGCTGGCATGACTAAACGCCAAAGCGCACGGAATGCTGTTACCTTCCCACCCAAACGGTACCTATTTATCTACTTGCAATTTCTTGCTTTCGAACTGCTAGGTTGGCAAGAGCTGGAACCAGAGACGGGAGCTCACTCCGTCATGCGGCACTCGGGTCTTGAACTGCTGAGCTACCGACCTTCCAGCCTGCAGTTCAGAATCTAAATATTTATTGTATTTAGGGAGAATCTTTCTTTTGAGAATTTCCAAGCACACATATGATCTGTGACTGACCAAGCCTGGAATACTGTCCACAAGCAACATTTTAGTCACTTCCCTTCCCCAGTTTAAATTACTGATGCGTCTACAGGATCCCTTTCTTATACTTGTTCAGCTACAATGTTGCTCATGTTGTCCATGTCATTTACTTTGCTTTTCATACTGGAAATTTTGGGTGAATTCATTGGACTACTTAAAACTTATGCCTGTGTCATCTTTAACCACATGGGGAAGTGATAGTTTGTGGCTAACTACTTAGTTAAGCCTGGTGTTTTCACCATTTTACAGCTGCTCAAAAATATAGGGAATCAGAACAGAAGTATTGCTGGGTTTGACTACCTAGTCAAGGGCTTATTGGTGGACAAACCACAGTATGGGCATTTTGGCAGTCTATTGTAGGCCTTAGCAAAAGCCTTAGCAAAATACCTTAGCAAAAGCCAGCCAGTGGAGGGACCTAATGTGGGCTTTCAAGACAAAACTAGGGCTAGGGGATGTTTCACTTTCACAGCATCCATTTTCAAGCTTACAACACATACAGTGCAATCTTTTGCAGAGGGACTCCATTCTAAACCCATTGAAATCAATAGTCTTACACTGGAGTGACTGTATAAGTTTGCACTGTGAGACACATTTAGACACACATCCATGTTTTCACATTTCTTTCATGCCTGAACCTCTTAGTATATGCTTAAACCTGACCTGTTTTCTAGCATTTACCATAAGATTTAAAATAAGATTCAAATGGAAATTGAATCAGCTGCCATAAAAAGTATTTAGAAAATTACATGGCTGATGGAATGGTTAGAACATACGTGGAATTAGGAGACACCTGTTATAATTCTGTGGCAAAAGGAATAAAGAGTTTGGCTCAGGACGCTCAGGATTCTTATTCTTTGGATGGACTGCTAGAAGATTTGAGTGAAGGGGGGCTTTTGGAGGGGAAAGTAGACTTGTAATCCAGGTCCCTTGTCAATGGATTGTACAGCAACCTCTCTCCATGAGTCTAGTAACAAAGCCTCTCAGTGTTTTGGCAGCTGAATCACCCATAGTGTGCTGTGAAATATTGCATATAGTTCTGTTAAATTGAAAGTGATTGTGTGTAGGTGTTTGCAGTGTGCATCTGAGTAACTGTGGCAGCGCCAGTTTCCCACACCTTCTCTGACAGCATTTTGATTGCAAACTGAAAGGAATACTACTTATCCTACCTTTTTAGAATGATCTTTCTCTTTCATTTGAAAGTCTCTGAGACGTCTGCACCTTTAAGGTGTCATTTTGAAAACCCATGACATAGGTTGTTTAATTTCAGAAAGGGACTTAAGATACTTTTCCCTTTAAGCAATCATTTGTCCAGTGCACAGTATTCAAGTTCCTATCCATAACATTAAAGCAGTTGAATGAAGGATAACCTGATGAGTCATAGAGAAGCTTGCAAGCTTAAAGCCAGGCAATTGACACTTGGAAGAGAGATGTCCATTGTGACTTCAGAGCAAATCAGGCAATGGCTAAGGTCAACAGGGAAGAATTCTTCCTTCCCATCTCTAGATAAAGGTAGTCCACCAGACAGGATGATTAATGTCATTTCTTCTGCTCAGAATGCAAGTTAAAACAGGTCAAGGAGATGGATGCCTCCTCTAGCAGTGCCTGCAGATGTACCATGAGCATATACCTTAAAAAAGGAAAGGCAGATCAGCTATGCAATAGTGGCCTGTTAAGAAGGAATCCTGATAACCACTAGAAGATGGTATCCTTTTCTCCTCCAAAATGATACTTGCTGATCTGGAGAAGTTGGCCTACACCACCTTGATGGATTAAACTATACTGGTGGTTTTGACAGCCTTAAGCACCTTGTCAGTGTCTTCAAGATCCCCATCTTGCCATGTTTACTTGGACTTGCTGCAAGCATATTGGTACAACTGCGGTGTCTAATGTGGATGTGAACAGTTTCATCAGGAAAGTAGCTAGCAAAATCTTACATCTACCCTAAGTTGGTACAGGATTTATGTTGGGACTTGACAGGCACTTAATTGTCTGCTATTTATTATTTAACAGCTAGATGCTGTGGAAGAGTTATATATCAGCTAATGGTCCAACTTTACAACCAGATGGCACTCAGAATTACCATCCCTCTGCTAAGCTGTTTGAAAAATCCTATTCTTTCATTAGCATTTTAAGTGCTGGCTATGGCTCAGTTCACCAAACTATGGGTAGCAAATCTGCTATGAAATGGAAGTGCAAACCATAAGTTTGTGGTCTAGATGTAGCACCAAACAATTTTCCTCAACAGGAAGGGAGGAGGAAAGGGAGAGGAAGGAGGAACATGCTGACCTGAGGTTGGTTCATGTAATTACAAACCATGGTTTACCATTACATTTAGACAATCTTGTTCTTGAGCCATTTTCCTCTTATCCTATAATGCTAGTGAACATTATTGGGATCCCGGACTTCCAGAAATTTTGTGGTGTGCAAAATTTGTCTTTCAAGCACACAGCATTGGGGTGCAGAAAATACTTCTTTTGTGGCTTTGAATGTATAAACAAGCACTTAGTATGAGTAAAAGCCATTACAGTTTCCAAAGGGTAATCATGAGGAATATGTACTCTAGAGGCGCCTTAAAATTTGGACTCAGTTGATACATCCACAGTTTACTTATAAAGAATTTAAGGGATTGAAAATGGTTTATTTTTGTGCACTTTTTAAATTTTAATTTTATTTTGTACTTCATTAAAACTATTCTCACATGTCACTGTTCTAATAGGGAAGTAGTTAAGAGACTCTGTAAGGACAGTTATACCCTTCCACGTTTATTGAAGTCATTGGGTTTAGAAGGCTGTTAACTTTGCTTAGGATTGTGAGTTTCTTTTCCTGTGGAAATTAGTTGTAAATAAATTATTGCTTTGACTTTTAAAAAAACTTAATTTAGAAGTCCCTTAGGATTGAGAGAGGGTTTTTTTCTTTTCGTTTATTTGTCCCCATTAAAGAGGGAAGTATTTGTAATTGATTGGAGGCATAATTTTAGGCTATTCACTGTTATATAAAAGTGTCCATAGTTCACTGAAGGAAAGCTGGATAGTATGTCTAAACAGAGGCAGTTAGTAAGACTTTAAAATGAAGGGGCTGAATCCAGACAGCTTTTTCATTAAATCTTACAGTCCACATCCCACGTGGCTTTTGTCCACTCATGTCCCACAATTCTTGGTATAAATTTTTTGGATGATGAAAAATGTCCTCTTTCTTTCTCACAAGCAGAAAAGCTGATTGGATCCATCCCATAGCCATGTGACTTCTTTGTGGCAAGGCAATAAACTATTATTTTGGCAGAAAGCTTGAAAACAAAGCTTTATACATTTACAGCAACTCAGATATAACTTTTTAAAGTGTACACTTCTTTTAAGGCTTTAAAAAAAAGAAAATATTTACTTTGATGTATATTAGAGGAGGACAGGCTATTGACAAATTATACCTATGATAGTACTTTGACAAACTGCCATGCAACAAACATCTTGACTAATGATGAAGGAAAATATACAACCCTAATCTATTCAGCATATATGTCAAACACTTACAGTCTAGACAATTCTTCGTTTTCTCTTTTAAAAAATCCTTATTTGGCAGTATTTATTTTACTTGTTTCTGTATTTCCTGTTAAATGATTCAGTGATCACCATACTGCAGACTAGTCTGTAACAACCTGAGGTACTAAACACTTCTGTCTTACTTCATTGTCTTCAAAAGTAATTGTCCTGTTCCTCTTAGGCTCTATCCATGAGTTGTGTATTACAGCATTATTTGGGATTGGGTCAGCTTCCACTATTGAAACCACTCGCTTTTTCATTTTACTTTTCAGAACTTTTTGGAATTTCTGCCGAGTGAATGCATATAGAAGAGGGTGAAAGATGGTAGTTCCATATGCCATGACTAGAAAACACAATCTCAACTTTACCAAAAGGTCACTTGGGCCCAAACATAAAATTGTAGTGTTTAACACTGTAATTGGTGTCCAGCAGAGAAGGAAAGTTGAAATGATCAACAGTGACATCCTGAAGACTCTCTTCTGTCTTTCTCGCCGTTCGCGATGTCGCTTTACTGCCCGCCGTAAGGCAATTATAACTGAAACTGAAGTCCTTACACCAAAGACCACATTTCTCCCTCCACTGCTTTGTGTTGCATCTGTGGTCTCATGTTGTGTGGATAAAGAAATGGTCTTTTTCTTTCTTGCTTTTTTCTTCTGCCCTGTAGAAAACCTTGTGCCTATTCGGATATTCAGTGCCTGGAGTATTTTGCTATATGTAATTAGCATTACTATAACAGTGAAGAAAAAGATAGGAATTTGTACTAAAAGGTGGTAGTACATCCCTAGTTCTGTGTGGTATTCATTTGCACTAACACACAGAAGTGTCTTGTTTTCCCAAGTATTTGTACTTTGAAGACTGAAGAAACTGACTTCGATGAACGGAATCAGGAACGAAAAAAAAGAGACGATCCATATTGATGTCATAAGCATCACAGCCCTTCCCATTGTCAAAATCCGATTAGCTGGTTTCACAGAGATATCGTATCGGTCCAAAGTGATAGCGAAGACATTGATGGCAGTGGAGACGCTTGCGAAGGACACACAAGCCTCATGGAAGCAGCAGATCAGTGCAAGGTTACTCTCCAATGAAAGCAGAAGAATAACTATAGTTAGAGGAATACATCCCACACAAATTATTACATCGAGAACATGAAGGTTCATTGTAATAATGTTACTGACAGAGTTTATTAAGTTGGATTTCATGCAGTAAAGTACCAATACGGTGAGGTTGCTGCCAAGTCCCAACACAATTTCCAGCATCAGAAATCCAGTGAGAGAAACTTGAAAGCTTAATGGATAAGACAGTGGCTGGTACATATTGGTGCTGATGTCATCAATGGCATCTCGAACTGTAATGTTAGATTCAGACTGCATGTTGACTTCTGGAATGTAAGAGAAACACATTTTTTTGTTGGGAGATCGTTTTGCCCTAAAAAGATGAGAGAGACAATATAAAGCAGTTTGAGTTTGGATGCTCTTAGGGTGAATCACATATATACAGACACTTTCATTGTACTTTGACTAACACATAGTAAATTTGGAATTGTACTTGGGTTTTGGGAATTTGAGATGGTAAAAAAATACAGATATTTTTAAAATAAAAAGCCATAGCAAAGGCAGTATTTGCAATCCAGATATGTATGCATAGATATGGTCTCTGCTCATTGGAAAAGTAAATCAAACTATTTTATATAAGGCTTGTGTATAAAAATGAGGAAGGACTAGATTTGAAAGAAATCTTCCTCCTGAAATAATTCTTTGGATTTAAATTGCTATGTCATATCGGTCTTTACAAGTAGCACTCAATGTATTGAAATGGTATAACATTGCCTACTTGAAAGTTTCTCGTGTGTGTTTCTCTGTGTATAAATGTGTGTGTATATCATGTGCATGTATGCACAAAAATACATGGATACATGTTCTTATTGTTGTGTTCAATTGTAAGACTGTTGATGCATAATTTAAAAGTGCTGAGATTCTTTGCATTTTGCATGTATTTCCATTCTAGGAAATTCTGGCTAATAGCAGCCAATGTTTCACATTGTAAAAAGCAAAAATATTTAAATGTGGTACCTTTTTCACATCTAAATTGAACAGGAACATACATTAGTTATCACAGTGGGGATGTCCAGACAGACTTAAGTAGGTCCGGGGTATATGGGTTTCCGTATTGTAATAGAGGGTTATTTTTCTAGTTACAGAGTTTTGAGATATAGTGAACTGGCATTAATTGTAACAATATGACCACACCATACCAATATGACATATTTATGTCAGATGCTTGCTATCTACCGTTCTGGACCAATGCACCCTTTGCATTGCAACAAACAATGTAAATATTTGATATCTCCCTGCAAGCTTTAGACACCAGTCTAAATATATGTCATAGTGCTTTGCAATAGTTTTTTTAAAAAAGGATTCAGGAATATTTGAGATAAGTAAACTGAAAGAAGTGATATCATAGCTTATCCCCTTAGAATAAGCTGCAGGAATATGCAAACCAAAATCTTACAAAAATGGAAAATTTTCCATGTACCAGCTTTTAGACAGGCAGGTTTAAGCATTGGGGCTTTGTTGGATCAGCTATTAAAATAGGCAGTTGAATGAAAGAAAAACGTTGCAATGGGAAGGTAATTAAAATGAAATGCCTCTCCAGAGCTGTAAATGTGAAGCAGAGGTTGGGTGCATGCAGCATCTGACCTACCTGTTTTCTCTTGCCTCAAGGGCCTCTCAGCTTGCTGGAGCAGCTTGTCATAAATTCATACATGGTGTCACTGACAGATTTTGACAAGTGTTTTCACTTGGCAACAGAGAGATGGCCGCGATCTGTTTCCTGCCTTGCAGAATATTTTAGTTTTTCCTTTTCCTCCAATACTTTTAGCAGCAGATTTTTTAAAAAAATCAGAGGATTTAATTGCCTGATATGCTTCTATAGACCAGTGCCTGAGAGATATGAATTATCATTCCTTTTTAAAGCCATTAGTGGAAAGCAGAGCTTCTGTAAGAGGCTTGTGATTTTTACCCTTTTTGTGTTGTTTGGCACCATTTTTTATTTTTCCAGATGCAGCAAAATAAAAATTGTTAAATAATAACTGACTTCAGAAGTGTATTCAGACATCCTCTTGTTATAGCTGTATGCTGATTTGGATTGGATTTTGGTGCATTGATCTGAAGTCACGAATTTGTCACAGAAGTTATCATGTACTTCAGTTCCTGTGTTTTCACTGAGGCCCATGAATTGTACCAGCTGATCTGTAATAGTTTTGTTAAACTTTAGTCACTATAACTAGTGACTTGGATAACACTTTATAGATTATTTATAGAGCCTAATTTTAGCTTACTGATGACACACAGAAAGCCACATCTTAATGTTCATTCATCAGCCATTTCCACAGGTCTGGTTTTACATTATAAATCCCCCTTGTTTAGTGAGATGCTCACCATTTTGCTGTAGTCATAAACCCTTGATTTAATCTTCTCTCCATGAATACTTGGATCAGGTGTCTTAATCTTCTCTCTATGCTGATGCGTTGCATGTGTTTAAGAGCTAATGTAGACTTCCTCCATGGTTTTGCGCTGGTTCCTTTATGTCTTAAAAAATATTAAAAATACATCCCGATGCTTGTAGGGCAGACGGCACAGAAGATTCCCCAAGCTGCTTTATTCTTCATGTTGTTATAAACAAAACCAAATTACAGGATCTATACCCTTGTAAAGACAGTGAGAGAGAGAAAAGGGTTAAAAATAGAGATTCTACAATAGTATGTTTCCAAGTATCTGTAAGGATAATATTTTCATACAGCCTCATCTGAAGGCACATTGTGTAGCATGGTTTCTTTTAGAGAGTGCATAATTGTTTTTGTATGAAGTATGTAGAATTAAGAATATTTTATTTATTCATTTCTAAATATGGTAGTTTGTGCCCCCTCCCATCTCTTTAGTTAAATCGATTTCTACTGTGTACATTTCAAAATATTAAAATAAAAGACAGTATGGCAGTAAAAGGGGAAAATTGCTACAGTATTTTCTTAAGTATGTCCATAGACACTAATTTTGTAGTGTTCAGGACTAGCTGTGCACTCCTAAGAATGCTTTCTTGGAAGTAAGCCCCATTGTCTAGAACTGAGTAGACCTGTGTAGGATTACTCTCTAGTTTAACACTGTCCTGGCTTGACTTCATGTGACCATGGAAGAGCCTGTGCTGTTCCGTGGGAATTACAGCTGGTTTCATTCAAAATTCCTTGCTTTATGTGAGCTTATTTACATATCATTTATTTAAGCATACCTTCAGTAGCAAAGCAGCTAATGGAGTAACACACGTGCACAAAAATAGGTATATATTTTTTTTGTGAGCACATCAGGGATTAGTCATATAACCCATTCTCCACAAAACAGTATCTCTGGTCCTTTATAGAGTATTTTGAGTCTATTTACAACATACATGACTGTAATTTTAAAAAATGGCCTGAACTAAAATCCCTTTTTAACCGCATTAAGATTTTTTTAAACAACAGGACCTTAAGCTGCACTGTCTCTAACAGCTTTTTGGCACAGGAACGGCAATTCCCCACATTTATGCATTTATAGACAAGCACACCAAGGACTGCATTCTTTTGTCAGTGAAAGAAAAGCACATTTGAATATTTAACTTGGTGTGTGTCATCAAACATATGAACAGAAAGTTTAAAAAGTCAGAATTTTAAAGTTGAACCTTGCAATCTCATCCCCATCACAAACGTCTTTTCTGCTTAGGCGCCGTACCATAATAAGGAATGCACCTTACCTCCACTGAGGATTGGATAAATTCCCGAAGCTGGTGGAGCCGTTCCAGTTTAGAGGGATTCATTGTTTTGGGGGGGTTGATTTTTTTTTTTTGTTCACTTGTTAGCAGAGTACAGGGGGAAGAGAGTGAACAGCATCTCTCCGAAACAGGACCTCAATGCAAATTTGTGCTTGTGCTGTGCCATTGTTTCAGCGTTTTGTTCGCGTCCGCCTCACAGAATGCTGCTCTCAGAGCCTGCTGCAGTCTCCCGCTTCCTACTGTAGAATCAATAAGCGTCTGAAAAGGCATAATGAAAGTAATTTAACATACTGAAGCCTTCTTGTCTCCAGAGACAACATTGAGGCTCGGTCGTTCTGGAACAGGAGCGGCACGGGCTTGCTTTCGGAAAGCTTGTTCTGGGCAGCCTGTGGGGAATGACAAGCCTACCTTGTCGCTTCTCCTTCACTGCAGAGAGATGCAGTGCATTCACTAATTTTGATTGGTCAGTGATGGTTGGGCTTAAACTGTGCTTCATGCATATGGGAGTGAATTTTCTTTTTTCCTCCTTTTAGATGAGGGTTCTTTTTTAAAGGGCTAATTTTTAAAAAAGTGATTTGTGTTTCCTTTGAATGTATTAAGGAAATGGAATTTTAGTTCTACCATTTCACACAGTATTCCCCCACCCCCCGGCTTTTTACTGCATGTTCCACATGAGATCACACTAGTAGGTGAACACAACGTGTGCTTCTATTGTATATGCCGTATACAATACAGTTGTATAGACTGCATTTTTTTTTAGGTTCTCTGCTCTACAACTGGCTGTAATGCAAATCCAGCTGTGGCTTTGGCAGTGGATGTCCCTTGCTAATATCTTTTGTAGAACAGATCAGCATTTGTTCCTTGTTTTGGAATAAACTGTCTTCATGATAAGCAGAAACTGCAAAAAGAGATAAGAACGTAAGAAGAGCCCTGTTGGATCAGACCAATAGTCCATCTAATCATGCATCCTGTTTCACATAGTGGCCATCCAGTTCCTCTGGATGGCCAGTAACAGGGCATAGAGACCAAGGCCTTCTCCTGATGTTGCCTCCTGGCTCTGGGATTCAAAGGCTTAGTGCTTCTGAATGTGGAGGTTTCCCTCAGTCACCATGGCTAGTAGCCATTGATAGACTTATCCTCCATGAAGCTGTTTATTCTTGTGACCATCAGTACATCCTCTGGCAGCAAATTCCACATTCTAATCACTCTCTGTATAAAGTAGTATTTCCTTTTGTCTGTCCTGAACCTACTGCCGATCAGCTTCATTGGATGCCCTCGAGTTCTAGTATATTGAAAGAGGGAGAAATTTTTCTCTTTGTCAACGCCCTCCACTCCATGCATAATTTGATAAACTTCTGTCATGTGTCCCCTTAGTCAAAGTCCCAGACTCTTCAGCCTTTCTTCATAGGGAAGGTGCTCCAACCCCCTAATCATCTTGGTTGCCCCTCCTCTGTGTTTTTCCAGCTCTGCAATGTCCTTTTGGAGATACAGTGACCAGAACGTCACACAGTTTTCCAAATGAGGCTGCACGATAGATCTATAAAGGGGCATTACAATATTGGCTGTTTTATTCTCATTCCCTTTCCTAATAAACCCTAACATAGTC